GATATAAATTCGGAAACTGCCATTCGGATTTCGTATGCTTACGAATCTACGAATTTCAGGAAAATTCGTACGAATTTCGATTCGTAACGAAACGAATCGCACATGTCTACCCCCAAGCGGACGGCCTAGTGGAAAGGTATAACAAGACCCTGAAAACTATGTTGTAAAAGGTTGTACAGAAAGATGGGAAAGATTGGGACTCCCTTTTGCCCTACTTAATGTTTTCAATCAGGAAAGTCCCCAATTCCTTAACATGCTCTTCACCCTTTGAATTGCTCTATGCGTGGCAGCCATGGGGAATCCTGGATGTAATTAAGGAATTATTAGAGGAGCAACCACCTAAGGGGAAAAATGTTATAGATTTTATTACCCAGATGAGAGACAGGATGAGAGAGCTGGCTCCGGTGGTAAGGTCTCATATGGAGATGCGTCTTCAAGGAAAATACAGCATGTCCAGTTGCCTTGACTTATTTTTTACTGATATACCATGACCTGGATGAATGAGAACCTTCACAGACATTATTACAATAAGAAGGCCCAAATAACTAAATTAAATCCCGGCGATCCTGGGAGTATTGGTATTGTTGCCCACTGCAGAAAGTAAGTTGTTGGCTAAATGACAGGGCCCCTATGAGGTTCTGGAAAAAAAAATAAGAGATGTAAACTACAGAGATAAACACCCTGACCGTAAAAAGAAAGAACAGATGTATCACATAAATGTACTAAAACCTTGGAGGGAAAGAGATGCTACCTGAACTAGATCAAAGTGAGTGGCAAGTTAATAGCCAAGCCCAGGAAGAGACACAGAAGGGGCCTAAGGTGTACATGTCAGAGAAAGTGACCCCTTCCCAAAGGCTGGAAGCCCAGAGGCTGGATGATCAGTTCCCAGATGCATTCTTTGAGAAACCTGTCAGGACTGAGATTATTGAGCATACTATTGTAACCAAACCAAGAATAAAGGTGGAATTAAGACCTTACACAATGCCAAAGGCAAGGAGGCAGGAAATTAAGGCAGAAATAAATAAAATGCTATAGATGGGTGTGATTGAGGAGTCGGTGAACGAGTGGTTCAGTCCCATAGTCCTGGTTCCCAAACCAGATGGGTCTATCCGTTTTTGTAATGACTTCAGGAGGCTAGTTACATAGTTGCTAAGGTTGAATAAAGACACAGGTCCATCAGGCTAAATAGTGTGTGTGTGTGTGTGTGTATTAGACATGTACATTTAGTTTCAGACAAACCTGTAAATCAATGAAATTCAGTTTCAATTCGGCGGAATCCGAAATAACACATTTTATATATACCCGAATATACTAAACCGTAATTCAGGCATAAAAAAAAATTGCTATCAGAACGCACAGCGCCCATTTTGATATCTTGGAGGCGGGGTGCATAACGCCACATGGCGCCACGTGTGTGCGGTGTTGGGTGATGTTATTCGCAGAACAAGCAGAGGCCAAATTGTCCGCCAGCGTGTTCTGTGCATACGTGCAGCCATTTTGGAGTATATCTTGGTATACACCAAGATGGTGGCAACCATATATTCTTGGTGTATACCAAGATATACTCCAAAATGGCGGCACGCATGCACAGAACTCTGTGGCGGCCGATACGGCTGCTGCTCGTTCTGCAGTTTCTTTGTGCGGTTTCAGATTCGGAGGCTCGTTGCCTCCAAAACAGCATTAAAATTAGTTTCCATTGACAAAATCAATGAAAATGTTTTTCATTTTCATTTGTTTTCGTCCAAAACAATTTTTTTTGCCCTGCACATGTCTAGTGTGTATACTGCTCGGAATTTCAATAACCCTGTATGTTTTGTGAACTGAGGAACTCATCCAAGTGTTTTTTGAACCAGTTTATGTTTCCCGCTGATACAACAACCTGTGGAAGTGAATTCCACATCTTTAACACTCTCAAAGTAAAATACCCCTTACACAGTTTACGATTATACCTTCTCCCCTCCAACTTCTTGTGCCTTTGCGTCTTCCTTACAGTACATGAGTTTGTAAACTGCGATCATGTCACCTCTTAAGCACCCCTTCTCTAAAGAGAACAATCCTAATTTTTGTAGGCGTTCTTGATAACTCAGACCCTCCATCCCTTTTATTAATTTGGTTGCCCGTCTCTGAACCTTTTCTAGCTCATGGATATCCCTCTTGAGGATTGGTGACCAGAGTTGCACCGCATAATCAAGATGGGGCCTTACCAGTGTTTTGTAAAGGGGAAAAATTATATTTGTATCCCATAAATAAATCCCTCTTTTGATGCAAGATAATATGCTACTAGCTTTATTAGCTGCAGCTTGGCTCTGCATGCTATTACTGAGTCTGTGGTCTATAATGACCCCAAGATCCTTCTTTATATCCATTTTCCCCAGTGAAACCCCACCTAAGGTGTATTCAGCATGCATGTTCTTAGCGCCCAAGTGTATTACTTTACATTTTTCTAGATTAAAGCTCATCTACCACATTGCTGCCCACTCTCCAATTTTATTGAGGTCTTGCTGCAGGGATTCTATGTCATGTTGCAATCTTATTTCCTTGCATAACTTTGTATCATCAGCAAACACTGACAGCGAGCTATTGATTCCAACCTCAATGTAATTTATGAACAAGATAAACAGAATTGGCCCCAAGACTGAACCCTCGGGCACTCCACTCACCACATAAACCCAAACCCCTCATGCCTACGCAAATTTTTTAGCCACTTGTTTAGCTCTCTTAGTTCTCGCTGTCTCACCGGTGTGGCTCTTGGTACCAGCAGTATTTTGGAGAATACCACCTTGAGGTCCTCTTCTTTAGCTTCTGACCTAGGTCTCTAAAATCTTTTTTGAGAACGCTCCATCTTCCTGTCACTTTGTCGTTAGTACCGATGTGTACCATGACCGCTGGTCCTCCTCAGCCTCTACCAGCAATCTGTCCATCCGATCCGCAATGTGCTGAACCTGAGCACTCGGTAAACAACATACTGTACGGAGATCGCGTTCTTTATGACAGATTACCCTATCTACCCTCCTGATCATTGAGTCCCCTAACACCAATGCCTGTCTTTTCTTGCTTGCCTTCCTGTTCCCCTCCATACTGGAGCAGTCACTCCCCTAGCATGCTAAAGGAGGTATTCTGTTCCAGCACTGCTACACCAGAACTGATTTTACCAACATCCTTGCATATTTGTTGGGATTTAACAATTCCGGACTAGCCACTCTAACATTTCAGCCGATGCTGAACGAGATTTCCTGCTTTGATGCTTACCCAAAACCCTGTGTTGATGAAATGATTGATAAACTAGGCAAGGTCCACTATATCACCACCTTAGACTTGACAAAAGGACATTAGCAAAGACTTAATTTTCCACTCCAGAGAGTTTGTTCCAATATACAGTACTCCCTTTTGGCTTACACAGTGCCCCAGCCACTTTTCAATGCCTAATGGATAGACTGCTGAGACCACAGTTTCAATAAGCAGCAGCCTATCTAGATGATGTTGTGATTTTCTCCCAAGACTGGGACACCCATCTGGAAAAGGTAAAAGTGGTCCTGCAGACTTTGAGAAGTGCAGGGTTGACAGCCAATACCTGGGATACATGGTGGGTAAAGGTATGGTAAATCCCCAATTGAACAAGATGGGCGCTACTTAAAATGACCTAACTCCCCTAAGAAAGAAGCAGATACGGAACATTCCTAGGGTTAGTGGGCTATTATAGGTGCTTTATTCCCCACTTTGCCCGTCTCGCCAGCCCTAGCCAGGCTTCATTTCAGACTCTTAAAAGATCACTTTCTACAAGCCCAATACTTGACTAAGCCCATCTAAATTTTGGAACACCCTTTTTGCTCCAAAAAGATGCCTCTAACGTAGGACTGGGGGCAGTACTGTCACAGGTGATAGATGGGGAAGAACATCCTGTCCTTTTGCTTAAGTAGAAAGTTGACCCCAAGAGAAAGAAGATATGCAGTGACTGAAAGGGAGTGTTTGGTCTTAAAGTGGGCCATGGAAAGTTTGAGATATTTTTTACTGGGCAGGGAATTTGTCCTGGTCACTAACGATGCGCCTCTGAAATGGATGAATTTGAATAAAGAGAAAAATCCCCAAATTACCAAATTTGCAGCTAACAGGTCACGAGAGAGAGAGAGAGAGAGAGAGAGAGAGAGAGACTGTGAAACAAAGAGATTAACATAGACCTTCAAGGCTGCTGCACTAAAGGTTTACTGAGACCTGAGCAGTGGGGTATTCTGGTTTGGGGCTGCCCTAGGCAAGGCAAAACTCGGGCGCCCCCCCCAAACACTAAATTTCCCCCACCCCTTCCTGTTTAATACTTTGTGCATAACCTGTCAGATGCTGGATACAGTACACACGCTGTATCCAGCTTTTGACATGTTACGCTATTAGCGTTGCAGGAAAGCTGTGGTCTCATGGGGGCTTTGCAGGATTTGTGGTGAGCTCTGCGAGGTCTATGGTGGGCAGAGCCCACCACAGATCCTGCACAGCCCCCTGAGACCATGTAAAGCCCCCCCACAGATCCTGCACAGATCCCCTGTGGCACCCGCAGTCTGCTGGATCTCAGGGGGGCTGTGCAGGATCTGTAATGGGCTCTGCCCACCATAGACCCAGCAGAGCCCACCACAGATCCTGCAAAGACCCCCTGAGAGCCGTCAAAGCCCTCCACAGGTCCTGAAGAGACCCCCTGAGACCCTGCAGTCTGCTGGATCTCAGGGGGGCCGTGCAAGATCTGTGGTGGGCTTTGCAGGCTGCAGAGCCCCCTACGGATCATACAAAGCCCCCCACAGTTACTGCAGAGACCCCCTGGGACCCTGCAGTCTGCTGCATCTCAGGGGGGCTGTGCAAGATCTGTGGTGTGCTTTGCAGGCTGCAGATCCCCCTATGGATCATGCAAAGTCCCCCACAGTTCCTGCAAAGCCCACCAAAAGGTATTGCACAGCCCACCTGCGACTCTTTGGTGGGCTGTGCAAAACCTATGCTGAGCCCTGCCAGCACAGTCCACCTACCTGGCACAGGAAACCCAGCCTTCTCCACTGCCTCGGCGCCAAATCGTCTCAGCTTCTTCCCCCGACTGGAGCCTGGGCGACGCTTCCCACCTCCTCCATCGCGGACCAGTCTCTGTTCTTGCCTCCTCTGTTGCAGTCTTCGGCCCCCCGCCTCCTCCGTCTTCACACGTCTCTTCGATCTCCGCCCCCATCTCCTCTGTGTCCACCCACTGCTTCCTTCCTCTCCATCTTCACTCTGCCTCTTCCATCCCCGCCCCCATCTCCGCCCTCTGCCTCCTGCCGCTCCGTTCCTGTCTCCTCCTGCTCCACCGCCCGCCACTTCCTCCCCGCAAGGCTGCCGGTTTCTGTGCAGCCCGGGAACTTTTGATCGTACACCGGCTGCCTAAATGTTTTGGGGGGCGGCATTTTTGCCGCTACCTGGGAATCTGCCGCCCGAGGCAAACGCCTTGTTTGCCTCGCGGCAGATACGCCCCTGGACCTGAGGACATGTTCGGGTTGCTTAACCGGTGTTTAAAAGCTTAGCTTGGCACCTTTAATCAGTGAGGGTGAAGATTTGTTTCCATGTTTAGGTAGATCTCTGACAAAGATAGGCTTTTTTTGTTGTTGTTTATAATTCTTTTGTTATCGCCTGGCATGAGAAGACTCAGTGCTGTTTGTGAAGAGTTTGTCAATAACTGAGTAAAATAAACTTCCCTGCTAAGGACTTTTAGACTCCAGCCTCTACAAGTTTATCGGCTGTGTTATCCATGATCAGACACACACTGTTACAGTCCCTAAGGACACGTATATCATTTCGAACTGGAAAGTGGTGTACATTAGATTAGCTAGACTGTGCACATTTAAAACTGTTCCTATTCACATTTAAACACTTAAAAAATAATTTTAAAGCCTGTCAATGTTTATAAATCTTTCCATAGATCATTTGAATGGATCTGAAGGTATTTTACTTAGTCAACAGTCTTCACCTTAAAATAAAAAGGTTAAAAAAAGGTTTAATTCAAATGCAGCTTTTTATATCCATGACTTTCTTTGAAATGCAATTTTGAATTACTGGATAGAACACAAAATTTTCCTTCCAAAGAACTGATTGATTTCTACTCCTCCTATCTTATAAAGTCACATGAAAGTCCTGACAAGTTTAATTTTTTTTAGCTATGGCAACTCCTAGGGGGCTGCCTGAGTGTTAAAGTGAACTAAACTCAGAAATTAACTCTTAAAAAATGCATTCAAGTACACTAACTATTAATAAAAATGTTATCTGTGTATCACTCAGCTATAGATCCTCAAATAATCTCTGAATTTGTGCTGACACTGTCCTTCCTTCTGGAGGGTGGTTACTTTTGTTCCTCATGGTCCCTGTGTGTGTTGTAAAGTAGCAACTGCTCCAAGCTAGCTCCCGTGATGGACTACAATCTCACGTTTGGTTTACTAATTTGTATTGAGATTGTAGTTCATCACAGGAGCGAGCTTGGAGTGGTGGCTACTTTACTGATTATTTTTATTATTATATATCTACTTTATTTTTATTTTCCTCCACATTTATATACAGATCAATCTATCTAGTAAACACAACTATTGCTGCAACTGCTTAAGCATCACTAGCAGTATTATATCTTGCCTCTTCTCATTTTCAGTATTATAAAATTCTGGGTTACTGTAATCCTTGCACCCCTACACATAATGCAAGTGTTAAAAGTCTAGAGCTAAGGAATAAGGTGAAATATTTATCTTACTCCTCACTTCTACGGTTGTCCTCCACTCCGTACCACCAGTCCCCTTAAGCCTCTTTCCTTTGATGGTTGACTGGTCGCAGCTCTCCAATGTCATTAGAGAGGGCATAAGGACTCTGAAGCTTGTCCCCATTTTGGTCCTTGCTCCCCCAGCAAATCACTTGGGGAGATGTTTTTTCTAACCCCGTCAGTGGCTCATTGCAAATGAGTAATGAAATGGCTGACAAAGCCTTTCTCTTCTTACTCCACCCAGGCACAGAGCAGTTAGTTGTTTGCAAGTGCTACTTGCAAACAAGTAGAACAGAAGCGGCGATTGCTCGCTTCTGTTCTCTCTTCTCCTGATCTATAGCTGCAGCTACAGAGCGGCCGAGGAGAAGAGAGAACAGAAGCGAGCAATCACCACAGCGGTAGTGTCCCATCCCTGGTCCTGCCGGCGGCGCACCCCCTCGATGACATTCAGTTCGGCTGTCTTCCCTTCGGCTGTCTTCTGCAGCTTCCTCCGCCCTCCTCAGCTGCCATAGGCTGGGAGGAAGACTGCAGAGACAGTGAGACACCTGGCCAGAAAGTTATTAAGTGCGGGAAAAGGAAGTTTTATCTCGGTGCATGGAGGATCTCTGTACCCCCACCACCACCACCAGGAGAAAGCACCTGAATACCATCAGCTAAGTGCACTGTAAGTCCCTTTTCTTTCTTCCTTACACAACTGACCTCTGTACTGTGCGTCACACTGACCTCTGTACTGTGCGTTACACTGACCTCTGCACTGTGCGTCACACTGGCCTCTGCACTGTGCATCACACTGACCTCTGTACTGCTGATCTCTGTACTGTGCATCACACCGCTGGCCTCTGAACTCCCTGTTGTTACTGATTTCTGTACTGTGCATCACACAGCTGGCCTCTGTATTCAGCATTGCACCACTAACTTCTGTACTGTGCGTTGTTACTGATCTTTGTACTCTGTGTCACACCTCTGACCTGGCGGAATTAAGGCCGGGGCAGGGTAGGGGTTAGGTGGGGCAACTGGTGTCGAGTAACTTTTAAGGCCTGGCTAGTATCTCAGGACTTGAAAATTTTGAGCCCTGCCTAAAACACTACTAGGGACCAGAGTTGTGAACAGAAGTTGTCATGTAAGAGGGCTCTTTAATGTAAATTTTAAGTTTTCCCATCCCTTTCGACATCACAACGTGCAGGTGCTGAAAGAGGTGGTGTAGTATGTCAGTAAAAACAAAACAAAAAAGCGCCAATACAAACTTCTTTAAACTGTGGGTTTTATTTGCAGAACTAAAATCAGACACTTTTACAGCCTGAGGAATCCTGCTTTAGTCATATAGGGTTAAATTCAGTGCTGACCAGGATGACCAGAAGCCCAGAGGGCAATAAATCTTTATTACTAAGACTGCTAAACTAATTCTCCTTACTGCAGAGTCTCCAAATGGGATATGTGACTATTTACAGCCATTATAAAGTCTCTGTCAACTATTCTTGATTGAAAATGTCACAGAGGGTAAATCTCTGCAATCCTTAATAATGCAGTCCTTAATTTTGTTATCTTCACATGCACAAATATTTTCTATGTTTAAATTGCACAACAGCCTCCCTAATGTGATCCATTTAAACCTCCAGGCCCTATGTCAGCTGGTGTGGACTTCTATGGCTATTGTTACGCCTGTCAATGAATTGTGAAATTCTCAAAAGCATCTAAATCTTATCCTGAATGCAAGTAGAATGCACTTAAATGCATGCTGCATTGACCTTTCTACACAAATCCTACTGACTCTTAATTTTAGTGCCCCAAAACACATCAAAATATGATTTTCTGTAAAATATAAAAGATGAGGTTACGACAAGTAAATAGATACCCAACATGGCCAGGTTAAAAATTGTGTGCATCCATGAAACGGCGACAAAATTCAGTACCCCCAAAAGTCCATAGACAATTATTTAAAAGCCCCTGCAGGTCATCAGTTTAGAGATAGGCATAAATATTGGCCCTAGCATTAATCACTCTGGTGTGCACGGCGATACCAATATGTGTAGTGCAATTGACGTTTCGTAAGTAGGCAACCCAACATGTGTTTACATGAATGCAGGGTGGGGGACTTTGGTTGGGGGGCCAAAGCTCTATACCAATCCCTAATAGTGCTAACTGAGGTGATGGAGAGCAAGCAAGGTGTGTCACAGAAGAAATAAAACTAAATATAGCAGCCCAAAATGGTTTCAATGCAATACAGTACCACCAGATGTGGGTCAAAGAGCCAGTTTTTTCACAATTACACCAACAATATGAGGAGGCAGTTGTGAAAATCTTAGCTAACCTTTGTGGTGCGTAATACCATTTATGGAAGATTTTTTGAAGGGACTCCCAATGTGTGATAAAATTAGATGTTTTTAGAGGCCATTCAAAAGCTTTACACCATAGGGTAGGAGGTAGCGTAAAATTCAACTACCTTCTCCCACCACTCCATAGATGGAAGTTTCTCAAAAGTTTGTGGTTCAGCAAGGAGTTTATAGAAGAAAGAGATGCCCTTATGGTGGGGATTAGGAGTTTGGTAGAAAGAGATAGTTCTTCTAATAATGTGGCTGTCCTTAACTTGTGCAGAGGCCATAAAATGTCGGATCCTGAGGAAGTTATAAAATTATTTGGGGAGATGGAGAATCTCTTTGAGAGCTCTTCATTTCTTACTTTAATTTAATTGCTATCACATAGGGGGGCTTACAAGCCCCCCCCCCCATGTAATAGCATATTGGCAGTGACAGGTCCACTTCAGGGTGATACTGGTAGTCCAAAAATCACTTTTCCACTTTAAATAAGCTATTGAAGTGCAGATCGCACTTCAATAGCTTATTGCTCAGCTTCAATAGCCGAGCAATGACCGCTCAGGGACCGGAAGTGATGCAATCCAAGATGCTCCTGGTCCCATAGAACAGGGAGGAGAAAGGCAAACGGATGTTCGCCATTCTCCTTCCCAGCTTCTCTTGATGCCTGACATGCCGGTCCCTGGGCCCACAGGAGGGGCAGTGGAGCCCAGGAAACACGGCGTGGGCGGGCACTTTATTGGCCCATAGAAGCAATCTGCCGGCAGCTGAAGCCACCGGGAGTCTGTTTACAGGGCCATGCTGCCAATTACGTACCAGGTAAGTCTGTGGCTGCGAAAGGGTTAAAACAAGTTACCTGGCATCTTTAGACAAATTTAGATAAATTTGTCTTCAAAATTCCAAACAGAGGCACAGAAACATTAGTTTTTTCCTATGACTTGTATTGCAACAGCCGTCCAGACCTCTAATAAAAACACACTTCAGATGTCTTTAAGCTGTTAAAAACGCACTGAAACTAACTTTAAAGTCTGTGTTGTGATCTTTAACGGCTATTTGAAAATTAATTATTTTATATTACATGCAGTTAAAGAGGTCAGGGATGGTTTGTTTTAAAACTCTTTACAACTGTTAAGAATATGCAAATAAGGAATTGTCCATAAACTTTAAATATAATAAATAGCTTTCTACAGTATGAAAATCCAACCACACTACAAACGATTGTAAAAGATATTAGAAATTGATACAATGTAATACTTGCTCCTTCTTATGCTGGACTGAAAAGACATCAAACATAATAAAACATTTTGAAGAAATTGACTTCTTGTCAATAAGTAGATGTATACTGTATATTAGTGAGCTAAAAATGTTTAGTATGTATATGAGAACATCTAGCACAGTTAAAACCATGATATTGAAATATGTATGTGTGAACCTTATATGATGATTGATTTTCTATATTTTAATCTATCCAAGTTTGGAAATGCCATTTGAACTATACTAGTGTCTTTGAGTTTACAATTGATAATCAATCAGTAAGCTTGACAGGCAGACCTAAGTATAGATGAAACAGTTGTTGGGAATTCTCAAAGAAGACTTGGTCTTTAAAATGGGTTTGAAGAGTAAAACACATTACTCAGGACATAGACTATGATGCCCAAAATGGGATACAAGGAGAACACATGACTCAGCTACAGAAAGTTTGGCACTCCTTTATGCTAATCAGAAAGACTTTTAAAGTAAACATCACATAGGTTATTTTAAAGTAAGAACATGTATAAAGGACGGGGATGATTATCCAAGCACTCACATACATTCACACTACAGATCCACATACACAACACACACATCCACACAGACATAACCACACCCACAAACCCTAACCCACACTCACATTGGAGACAGAAACACCTGTTAGGACTATTTTAACTTACTAACTAAAGACGTTTCTTAAGCATCTTATAGACTTCTGCTGTAAGATATACTATATTTTGTAAACATCAAGCATCGTATAGACTCATTCTGTAAAATATACCATATCCTGTAATCATTTGCAACTTTTAGATTAAACACATTCTGAACTTTATACAAGCATGGCAGCAATCTTCTATTGTTGAACTTTTCCAATTTCCCACCCTATGCTTCAAGAAAAGGAATATGACATAAAAAAAATCATATTTTGTGTTATTTCTAACAAGCACAAACACATGGTTACACAAAAAAAAAATCCTAACCCTTGAAAAAGTAGGAAGAGAGTGGCCAAAGTACTGTTAGCAAACTAAGAATAATAAAATCGTATTTTAAAAAAAATCAAAAAGTAATATTACAGCATACTAGCCCTTAGACGTGGTGGCTGCATTTGCGTTTTTTCCCCGTCATTTTTACTTGGTAATCCTGTGAATAACACACTTCCTGCCCCTTCATGTCTATGTTGTTTTCTGCACTGTATCTATTGAGGAAGTCATGGTTGTCACACAGGTTGGATTTCAAACATGTCTGCTTTTGTTCATCTCTATTACATGGTAGATCGATGGGACTGGTAGTTTATATATGAAAAATACGATTTTTGTGCTTTTTTTCTTAAGATCACAGGAAGTGACAAAAAATGCTGCATTTCTGGCAAGAGCAACATGTATTTTCTGTACTTGCTGAAAATGATCTTAGCCTGAAAAGTGAAAATGAATGCAGCCGTTAATGACTGATAAGCTGCAATGTTTACATTTTTGTTTTTGGATTTAGATACATTTTAATGGAAGCTCATGGATAAGGGAAAGGGGGGGTGGGGTAGGCGTGCCAAAAGTCACCAATGAGTATTACA